GGCCGGACAAAGCGGGCCCGCCAAGTTGCGAGGGGCTGCAGGCGAGAGAAGAAAGGCTGCGGCGAGAGACGACTGGAGAGAAGGCAGCGCCGGCGGAGGAGCGGCGCGCAGCCCGGCGCAGAGCAGCTGGTGTTCGGTGGAACAAACAACTTGCCACTCAAACGCGCGCTCGGTGCGCACGCGCGGCCGCCGCGGGGCGTGCCGGGACTTGTAGTCTCGAGCGACCTGGGCGCTGCCGCCTGCTGATGTCAGGGGTCTGGGCGCCCGCGCCGGGGTGGGGGTGGGGGCGCCAACAGTGCACCGAAAATGTGGGCCTGACGTCCCCGCAGGGACGGAGGAAAACCGAGGGGAGTGATGGGGGGTTTCCAGGCAGCTTGAAATTAGGTGCAAGCTGTGTCTTTCAGAGCTGGGAGACACTGGGGGTGCAGAGCGAGCAGCGGCGACAACTCCAGCTTTGGAGGGGAGGCCAGATGTGGGAGGGGAGCGGTCACTGTGCAGTGAGGCGAAGCAGAAGGGGTGCTTGGGACAGAGTGGTTGACCAAGGGTACGAGAGTGGACCCTGAGAGATCAAACAGCATTTCCCGGAGAAGGGAACATTTCAACAGGGTTCTGAAGGGTGAGTGGGAGCTCACTAACAAGGGGAGGGGGCGTAGATGGAGGGCTGTGGCCTTCCAGGAAGAAGGAACAGCGCGTCCAAAGGCACAGAAGCGTGAACGTCCCCATGGCGCTGTGTTTGGCTTTGTTGGAGCGGAAAATATGAGGGAGGAGAGGCAAGAGATAAGGCTGGCCTGGTAACCGGGAGGCGAGTGGAGAGGGGTCATGTGTGCTATGCAGACCCTTTAATCAGGGGGAGGAGTGGTGATGAGGCCTGCTAAGGCTGAATTCGGGAAAATTCTGCAATACAGCTAGAGACCCTCCAACCGCAGCCCACAAGGTTTCCGTCTTCTTGGCTGACATTTTCCAGGTTAAAGTTGCTAGTGCTTTGGTAGACGAATTTGTGGAGAAATCTAGCTGTACTCTCCCAAACTCCCTCTGCCCTCCTCTGGGTGGAGTAGGGTTTTGGGTTGGAACCTCTGCTGTGGAGTCAACTCAGGTACAAAAGAACCAAATACTGCCTGCATGAGTCATCCTCACTGTCCCCAGCATGTTTAAGACCATTGTTGGAGTTATTGCGCCAATCTGTCTCAGTCTCACCAAGGGTCTTCCCCACCCTTGCTGGCCCTCTGTCACCAAACATAATGTCCTCCAGCGATTGAGCCCTCCTGATGTTTGTGTCCAAAGTACGCAAGTTGGACAAATGGTCTATTGTGACTCATGAGGTTTTTGTTGGCTGATTTTCACAAGTAGACTGCTCATTCTTCCTAGCCTGTCTTAGTCTGGAAGTTCTGCTAAGACCTGCTCACAATGGATTACCCTGCTGGGATCTGAAATACCAATAGCGATGCTTCTAGCGTCACAATACACACACACACCCTGCCAGTGGACAACAGGACTGATGGATAGTAAGAGGAATTTATTAACTTCTTCATTCCACAAAGGGGATGGGAACCTGTAATCTGTGGTGGCTTTTAGAACATGCTTCTCTTTATTTTTGCTAAAGAATCATTATTTTTGCTACCTTTTAATAACAAATATGGACTTGTGGTGTGGCACTGTAGGATAAGCACAGGACTGCAAGGTCGGTTCAAATCACAAGGTTGATGGCTCAAACTCACTAGTTGTTCCTCGGAAACCCTATACTAGGTCGCTATGAGTCAGAACCAACTCAACAGCACTTAACAACAACAACAAACAATATATGCAAAAGAATGAGGCATCAGGATTGGAGGAAGGCGCATCAACAACCTTGCTTCATAAAAGCAGAGAGGACTTGAAAGA